GGGTTGTAGCACGTGGCATGTAACCCCTGGCCAGTTCTACCCTTTCTTTTCGATCCGTTGACCCTTGTCAACATGCAAGATCAAATTCAGGTTAAATACTGGTACTTTACAAACTCATCAATAATACAATTCCCGATTTGGTCTAAATTTTATGATTTACATATTATCGTTATCGTTATATTTTCTTTATTTACGTACATACGTATCAACTTTGAGCGGTAATAATGTCCGTTAATTTCCTTGAAGATCTTTCAAAAGATTTTTCTCAACTTCTTGATGAATCTGATGATTATGATGTTGTTATTCAAGCTGGAGAAGATCCAGATTTTAAAGAAATTAATGTGCATTCAAATGTTTTACGTGCTAGATCACCTTATTTTAAAGTTGCTTTATCTGATAAATGGGCAAAGCGTAAAAGGGGTGCTACCATCTTTAAAAAACCAAATATCTCCCCAGCTGTATTTCTTCTGATCCTACGGTATGTTAAATTAATGAAATTACATTTATAATAAGATCACATAATACTGTATTTATGTTAAACTAATGATATGACTTGCATTAATTCGTAATCGCTTACTCTCTTAATTTTAAAGATATATCTATACAGGAATTCTTGATTTAACTAGTCAATCGAGTTCTAACATTCTTGCTCTTCTTGTTGCGTGTGACGAATTAATGCTTGAAAAATTAGTTGATCATATCCAAAAGCATGTAAGACATAAAAGTATCTAAAGTTTTTTCTTTTTTACAAATGAGAAACGATTTTAATTATAATTATAAAATAATTTAGCTCATTAATCAAGAATCGTCCTGGTTACAAAAGAATTTCATTTTCGCTTTGCACACAGTCTTGAAGCTCCAAAGTTGCAAAGCAGTCCAAGAATATATCATGATGACAATCTGTGAAGATCCTAAACCTTTTTTTGAATTAAAGGAATTTCCAACTTTGGATAAAGATATTCTTTTAAGTCTTGTCAAGAGAAACGATCTGGGTATTGAAGAAATTGATCTTTGGAAATATTTAGTGAAATGGGGATCAGCTCAATTCATTTCTTCTAAAGAAAAATCTAAGAAGGATGTCAGTAAATGGGAAGAGAATGATTTTGCATTATTAAAAAAATTTTTGGATCAGTTTATGCCACATATTCGATTTCATGAAATATCCAGTGAAGAATTTTATTATCACGTTAGACCTTATAAAAAAGCAATACCGGAAAATATTTATGAAGATTTAGTGGCTTATCTCATGGCTAACGTAACTCCCAAAGTTCCTAAGCTACCTCCACGTTATGGTCCTATTATTATCGACTCTGTTATAATTAAAAGGAACAAAGCTGCAACCATCACTAATTGGGTTGAAAGAAGAACTACCTTTGTTAAGAAACCTTTTTATCAGTTTACACTTACTTACCGAACAACACGCGATGGATTTGATTATAATAAATTTATTGCGAATAATTGTAATGGCGCAGTTCTTGTGTTAATTAAAATCAAGGATTCAAATAAAGTAATTGGTGGATACAACCCTCTAGGCTTGAGAAATTATAAGCGTTACTATGGCAATAATTATCAATGGGAATCAACTAATGATAGGTGAGTTACAATTATTTCATTTATTAATTTTATGAGTTGTATGTATAATTATTTTTTTCTTATTAATTTTAAATTTTATAGTTTTATCTTTTGTTTTAAAGATAAAAAAGGTTCTAATAACCCTATACTTAGTCGTGTGAAAAATTCCTCATATGCAATATGTAGTTATAACGGAACTTGGATAAATTTTGGAAATACTGATTTGGTATTAAATGGCCAGAATGGGTCTTGCTCACAAAGTTACTATGAATATAATATTTTAGACACCAATAGCTTTGTTGTCGAAGAATTGGAAACTTTTATTGTGCAAAAAAATTAGTTATATATGGAAAGTTTTTTACAAATTGCATTTAATAAATTGTCGAGAAATTCTCTCCCAACGAATCGTAACAATATCTGATTTTCACATACTGCTTCTCATATTCTAATTATGTTTCTTTATATATGAATATTGTCTATCGAGTCTAGTATTTTACTTGGTGCAAATATGTAGTAAGCAAGTGAATTCTTGTCACTCGGAATAGTTTATAATCTGCAGGTTAAATAATTTTTTGCAACAAACCAGATCGACAGAGGGAGAAACACCGTTGACATCCCAAACTCATCATTTACAAATTACATTGAGTAAATTGCATTAAATATCTTAAATAATTTTATATATAATCAATTAATTTTTAAATAGATTTTAAACATTTTATATAATTTATGATTTTACACGGGAATTTCAATCTCATCAATAGGATTACTGATCATACTGGTACTTGCTAATCTTTGTATGAGTATGATCTCTCGTGTATTGATAAGCCTTGAAGTGTACATGTGTTGAGGATGTTTTGGTTCGGCCTGTTCTAGTTTGTTCCTGTCAGATTCCAAGAATTGTTTCTTTATTTCGGTTTCAACTGGACTTTTAATTTTTTTAAGCCAATCTTCGATTTTAATATTAATTTCATTTACCTGTTACGGTAGGTAGTTTTTTAGAATCAGAATTCGTGCACCATTCTGCTAATTCTATATAATGATCAGGAGTTCCTAAAGCACATCTCGGCCAGGGCCAGTGTAATTTAATAGTAGCAAAAAATAGCACTAGCAATATCACGACAACCACATAATCAAATCTGACGAAATTGTTTTATTTTGATTCTATATACAGTATTTATAAAACAACTTCGATCAGATTTGGCTATGTGGTTGTCGTGATATTGCTAGTGCTATTTTTACTATTATTAAAATCCACTGGCTCTGATCTCGGCCGTTCCCCTTGACAAATCCTTAACGAGAGTCCAATATCAAATGGTTCACCATCAAATGGTCTTTTACCAGTTGCTATTTCCGTCATGATGACTCCAAAACTGTAGATATCTGATGCCTATATAAATGGGTTTACCAGTAAAACTTCTGGTGCAACATATGGTATGACACCATAAATTTCATCTTACTTTTGCTTGTTGATATTGTTGATATTGTTAGTCCTAAATCAGTAATATACGCATTATGTGAATCATCTTGTAAGATATTGTTGCTATGAAGATCTCGATGAATAAATCCTTTAGAATGAATTGCTTCAAGATTAGAAACAATTGAAGATAAAATTTCTATTTTTTCTTCCCATTTCATTTGTGCAATAATATTAAGATTACTATATAAAGAACTATTATTAGCATATTCTAATACAAGAACATAATTTTCAGCGTTGTTGTTATATGATAATCCAAAGAATTTTATAAATGACGCATTTTTAAAACCAATATCGCAATATGCCTTCATCTAAATAAAATTTAATTAATAAATATAATTATCAAATTAATAAATAACTTCTATGATTACCTCATGTATAAATTCTTTATTATGAATTAATTTGAGAGCGACATGTTTCCGTCGGTTTTGATAATTCCATCGAGCTTTATAAACCGTTGAGAATCCGCCCTTTCCAATTTCTTCAACATCCTTAAATTCATTATAAGCAATTAATGTTATGTTGTTTTTTTTTGATTACATATAGTCCTAGTTTATTTCCTAGTTCAGCGGATTTAAGATAATACTTGAATTCCTTATTTTCATCTCTTTTAACTCCAATTCCATGTTGATAATAATAACCGAGACGGTGTAACTCATCTGCATTTTCTAACTCTGCGGATTTTTGATAATAAATAAATGCTTTATTTTCATTTTTCCAACCCAAAATCCATTTGATAGCAGTAACCGAGATTGAATAGCCCATTTGCATTTTCTAACTCTGCAGATTTTTGATAAAGTAACCTATCTACAGATTTTTGATAAATATTTTCATTTTTTTGGTTCCAATTCCATGTTTATAACAATAGCAAAGATAAAGTAACCCATCGGCATTTTCTAAATCTGCGGATTTTTGATAATAAACAAGTGCTTTATTTTCATCTTTTTCAACTCCAATTCCGTTTTGATAGCAATAACCGAGATTAAATAACCCATCAGCATTTCCCAACTCGGTAGATCTTTGATAACAAACAAATGCTTTATTTTCATCTTTTTCAACTCCAATTCCATGTTGATAGCAATAACCAAGATTTAATAACCCATCGGAATTTCCTAACTTAGCAGATTTTTGATAATGAACAAACGCTTTATTTTCATCTTTATTAACTCCAATTCCAAGTCAATAACGGTGACCAATATAGTATGCTCCAATATCGTCACCCATATCAGCAGATTTTTGATAAAAATAAATGCCATATGTTCATTCTTTATAACTTCGATTCCTTTTTCATAAAAATATCTAACATTGAACATTCTAGTAGTCCGCCGACTTTTGATAATAAAAGAATGCTTACTTTTATCCACACCGACGCCAATTCCTTTTCGATAACGATATCCAACATTATATGCTCCAGTTGCGTTCCCCATCTCTGCCGATCTTTTATAATAAATAAATGACATATATTCAAACTTTTCAACACCGATTCCTTTTTCATAAATTAAAGGTTACATTAACGTTACCCATCTCTGCAGACTTTTTATAAAAAATGGCACAGGTCAAATGAAGCCATATCGGGAACATTACACCCGGATAAAAACCGGAAACATATCGGGTTTCGATATTTCTCTGGTTTTTTATCTTTAAATCAGTTAAAAATCGGGTCCCGATATAATTGTCCGAAGGACATTACTGTAAAGGTATAGAGTACCTGATGTCTGTGTGTCTGCAAATTACGACTTTTGATTGGCTAGATCAGATGTAACGTAAAAAAAATCAAAACAATCTATCAAAAGTCGATTTATATTTGGTTCTTCGGACTTTGAATGGTTTCCATTTTCCTAGTTATGAAGTTAAACTGAAAAATAGTCCGCTAAACTTTAAGTATATCAGGTTATTATTAGAAGCGTTTCAGTTAAAAATTGGGTACCCGATATAACTTTGGAGTTAATCTGAAAATATCAGAAATGTATCAGTTAAATATCGGGTACTAAGTAGGACTATGGAATATAAACCACTATAATTGCTGAGAATGACACATCATTTTGGGTTGTCAGTATGGAAGGTTAAATGAGTATTATTCAGCTATTGAATTGGTTCCTATTACTGGAATTTTTAGAGAATATCCAGAGCTTATAGTTATTCCTGAGACTTGTATAAGTGCCCGTGAAGCTGCAATACAGCAAAGCTCTGAGTCTATAGTTATAACCAAATGCCTTTGCAAAGGTGATTGTTCAAAAAACCATTGTAAATGTAAAAAGACAGGTGAAATTTGTAATACTCATTGCTATCCAAATAATAATAGATGCAAAAATAATTGTTAAATGCAAAACAATTAAAATAAAATTGGTTTATATTAGTTATAATAACTAATATATAATTACTGTAATGATTATAGTATATATTTTTTTATATTTTTTAAAATATTTATTGAATTTCTATTAATGTAATTAATGTCGAATAATCATGTGATTAGTGTTATTTATTTTATTGGCTGGCCATTTATTAACAATCTACAATTTGCATCAGGGATAAAAATGGTAGCCCAAACTGAAATTGTAATCTGGGCTAGCCCAATCGACAATCAGGCAGATTTACATCTGGGCTACAACACATATATCAGTTCTATATAACAACATGTGCATTAATTTTTTTAGCCAATAAAATTGAAGCATTTATTAATTATTTAAATTTTGACAATAATTTGTGTATATTAGTTTTGCATATATCAATATTATATTTAGATATATATTAACCTGATTTTAGTTATTATTTTGATTCTTTTATATTTAGTAAACTAATACCAAAAATAACAATATTTTGATAGTAATTTCTATTCAACAGAGTTCTTTAATAAAGTACACTTTAAAAGAAAACTTCTAAAATAAAAAAAATTAAAAATGCTAGTTTAAAAGAAAAACAACAAAATAAAGAAAAAAAAAACTTAAAAAAAGATTTCTTTCTTATTTTTATTAATGAGTTGATTTTTTTTAAAAAAACAAAAGCTTATTCTTTTCTTTTATTTTTTTTATTTTCGTCTTTTTTTCTTTTGTTTATATTAACAGTGTTGTACATAGGACAATTTTGGACAATTTTGGGCATTTTTTCAAATTAAAATTACTCAAAATTTTATTAAGATAATCTATATTAATTTTTTTATAAATGAATTCAGCATCTAAAAAAATATATAATTATATAATTTTTTAAATTACTTTATTTTATTTTATTTTTTTTAAATTCGGCAGTCTTGCTTTAACTATTTATTAGTACTCTAAGGTATTGTGGTTACAAATATATATACATACATTTACAACTATCTAATTATTACAGATAAGACTCACCCGGTTACTAACTTAGTACCTATGTATGACCTGCTATATGAGATTTTATCTTCTTAGTAACTGCCCCTTTTGACCAGACCAATTACTAAATCACCAG